GATGGGACAAACAGTCGTACGGATACCATGGCGATGACGGACATTCGTTCTGCTCGTCAGGCACGGGACAGCCGTATGGGCCAACGTTTACTACTGGCGACGTGATTGGATGTGGCGTCAATCTCATCGACCACACATGCTTTTATACGAAGAACGGCCACCATTTGGGTATAGCCTTCCACGATCTGCCTGTAAGCTAAGAGACGTTTTATCATACTATGAAGGCTTTCACGGCCGGTTAAATCACATTTAGGAATGTTTTCCGGGCTTTGAAGCCGTGGTCCATGGGGGAATTTCTTCCTGACGTTTCGTCCACAACTGCGGTGGACATTATCAAAGGCGCCTTTGAGGCTTCAAAGCCCGGAAAACATTCCTAAATGTAAGAGACGTTTGTTTGCCAGCTTTGCAATGTGGACCGTTTTTCAGCCGAACCTTTACCCGACGGTCGGCCTACAAACGCCCGGTGAAGTTGTGGACGCCAACTTTGGGCAGGAGCCGTTCGTGTTTGATATTGAGGACATGATGCGCGAGCTGCGCGCCCACACCAAGATCGAAGTTCAAGAATTTCCAATTCCGGGCAACCAATCCGAATGGCAGGCCGTTCTAAACAAGTGAGTGTTGTACTTGTCCTTGTGGCTCCTCAGTGCAATCCTTCCTTAGGATCGTATCGACCTATTTGGTGCATCACGGCTACTGCAATACTGCTGAGGCGTTCGCCCAAATCACCAATCAGCCCTTCACCGAGGACATTCACTCTATCAAGAATCGACAAAGTGAGTCGGGCACGCACTGCTGCCAACCGGATCGTTATCTAGTGGTTTTCGTTGCAGAGATTCTGAAACTGGTACTATCGGGGCGCATGGGCGAGGCCATCGAGCGCACCGGCCGGATGTACCCTGGCTTGCTCGACAGCAATGAAAATCTCCTCTTCACCCTAAAGGTAAAGCGCCAGAGCAGGCTGAACATGGTTTCGAATTTGTTTGTTGCAGTGTCGTCAATTTGTCGAGATGGTCAACGGTTCGGACATTGAGGTTTGCCATAGAAAGTGCGGAACTGGAATTCTAAACTCTTCGCAATTAGACAACAGCCCAGTCCATCCGTCCGTGATCCAGTCACCGAAGGGACTGTGCAAATCGAGCCATAAATCAGCAGTTGCTTTGAAAGCAGCACGCAACGGAACGGCCCTAATCGAAGACGACGACGCCATGGACGTGGAATTTTTGGACGACTGTCCCAACGGCGTGGACTGCAGGATCTGTGAAAATTGTCCCAATACGACCGATTGTCCCAACATACAAGTAAGCAAGGTTGCCGGTGCCTGTCCCTAGATGATACCGGTAACGTTGCAGGACTGTCAAAACGGATCAGCCGACTGCGTCAACGGTAAAGAACCTGTTAACGGTTATCATAACGGCAGCAATCACTGCACTGCCGGTGCAGATGCCCCCAGTTCCTGTGATGACGAAGACGACATGGGTAAGAGCGCATCCAGAGCCGGAAATCTCTTGTAAATAATCGATTTCAGATGTGGACGTGCCAGTTTGCCGCAAGTCCTGTTCAAAGCCGGCCGTTGAGCGAATACTGGAGTTTGGTAGGGAGCTCTACAGCATGAGCCAACGGTTAAAGACGGACAAGTTGACCCGACAACACAACCAGCACATGTTGGAGGTACGGCTGCACCCACTAGTCCCGAACTGGACGGGTTGACAATGGGCATTTTTTCAGGACGCCTTCAGTTTATTAGCCTACTCGAATCCGTGGGACAGTCCCATCGGCTGGCAACTAGAACCCGCCCAGCGAGAAGCCGTGTGCGCTCAACTCAACTCCGCCATTCTAGGTGAGTGGCTCGCCATTTGGGCCCGCCAAAGCTAACCAGAAAACTTGCAGAATCAAATAATCGGCCACGTAAGCCGCCCTTAGAAGTGGCGATGGCGCACGCCCACGAACTCACCCGCCTGATGTCCTACAACGGGCTCGGTTCATGTGCTTTTGCTGCCGTGTCCGATATCCTCGACCAGGACCACTGACCCGCGGGTGCAGCTCGACAGGCGCCTTTTTGCGGTCGGTAAAACACGAGCTGCATCGTTCATGTTGACCAAAACTCGGGGGGAGCGCACGACTACCCCAATCCGATGAAAACACTATCGAATTGCTGACTGCCATTCTCCTAGAGGAACAAAACCGATGGGCAAATTTTCACATTGACGCCCTCTTTTACAACCGTCTTGTGGGTACTATTTCAGTTTGAAAATGGTGATTTTTCAGCGTTCAAAACTACTTAAGTCCAACAATTCACCCATGTTGATTCTTACACCCAAACATTGACTCTGCCTCATGATTACGGGCTGGTCCGGATCGAGGTCAAGGAAATTCGTGTGTTTAGATGGTAACGCGTTAGGGTTTAGGAACATAATAACATAGAAATTGTAAGCGATCGAGCCATCACTCATAGGCTTGATCGGTTTGCTGTCTATAGTCGGTAAAGATGCAATCGTAAGTTAGCTATGTAGATTAGAAATGTAAGCTTTTTTGACACGTCCCAATTGGGTGTAAGGAGTCAACGTACCATCTGACTGCAATCATGTACCTGCAAGTTGGCAACCATGTGATAAAACCATATTTTGAGAGTGAGTCAGTTGTCTAAACGATGCGACGTTTCGCCTGTAAATAAGGACAGTTTTTTTACGTTTGTACATATAACGAGCGAATTCGGTTTTTATTCCGCGCAAGGGCCCGTCTCTTTCAATCAATTCTAAGGTGTTTTTTTTTATTTTACGTAGACCTATAATACCATTTTTAGTGATGCAAACTGACAGAAAATGTACATAAATTATTAAAATGTTTAATTGTTTATGAATAATTTACCGATAATAAAAAAATGTATTTATTTGCGTTGCTATTTTGCGTCACGCGTTTGCCTAATGCTTAGGAATTGGAATTATCCTGATTGTGATTCATATCCAAATATGCTATAAACCAATAATAGCCAAAGCCAAGAAAAGCGTAAAATTTAGCCAAAACGCCACTGATTTTTTGAATTTATTGGACTTTTACGTTTGGGGGCAAATAGAAAAAAAATATAAACTTTATTCTTCTCCAGTTTTAACCAGAGATGATTTACTTTGACGAATTCAACAAGCCTGCAATGATATGCGGAAAAATTTTCATAAGGTATCGGCTGCAATAAATTCGTGCATAATTAGTTGTCCATGTCGAAAATGTATTGAAGTGCGCGGACTACATTTAGACAATTTCTTTAATTTTGTTGTGATTATCATCGATTGAATTTGCGAATTAATTATATTATAGTTTCATTAAATTATCAGCTATTTTTTACGTAAAAACGCTTGTACAGAGAAATTTAAAAGCATTTTTTTTTCGAACTGAATGGAGAATGCAAAAACGTGATTTTTATTCTATGAAACAGCAGTGTCGTATTCTTATTTTTGTCTTTAAAAACACTCATTTATCTGTTGGCACGGAGGCTACAGACAAATCACAAAATTTCGTTTTTATTGCAAAATGTACTCTTAGGGCAGAAAGACCGATTGGGTCGATAGCCTTTTTTTGTAGGAAATAAAAATTATTTATATATATATATTTAGCCAAAACGAGCCCAAATCCAAACCACTTGGACTTGGAAAATGTGCCAAATTTTCCAAACTGTGGGCCGCTGCTGGGTGCGGGTCTGGATTAACCGCAAGAAAAAGCGAAAAACTGCATTGCCCTAGTAGTTCATCGCAGTAGATCTTATTTTACTCCGAAATGACTCGCATGCGTATAAACGCAGTACAACGGCGGGAAACGTAAAATTTGTAGAGTTGTTTTGAGGTAAGGTTCACCGCTGACTTTCAAATTAACACTTGAATTTAAACCAAAATACTTTATTTCTATGCAAATCTACAAATAAGTGTGATCATTATTGGCTGATGTACTAATATTTAGCACTGTCGCATTTTGACTTAACGATAACTTTATCATTTTTGCCTCGATAGGCAAAGGCCGACAATTTTCAAGTTTCTGCTACTCTTTATTTCGCTTACCATAAAATCTAGCTTGTGTATCGATTTTTTTTATTAATATTAACTTTTTTGCTCTCAAATTCAATCCTGTGACTCCTGTGATTATTGAACAATTCAATAGATTTGTAAGTGTTTTTTTTTAATTTGGGCACGAACATCGTTAGACACGTTTGAACTATTATTTAAAGTAAGGCAAAGTTCTAATGCAGACTTTAGTTCATTTTTTAATATGATTTCAGGCGGGAAGGATGTAATGTTCTCCGGTGAAACTAAATTATCGGAAACGGCGTTTGCAGGATTTTCCATGAAACTTGATGTTTTGTCAACATCATAAAAATATATACAACATGCATCTATACGTTAATTACGTTATGGCGAACAAGAAAGCCATATGATGTATCACTCGAGGTATTTTGAGGAACTTGAATTTTTTGAAAAAATCCACCTGTTACTCTCCCTTTATGAAATTTTCGACCAAAAATCAAAATTTTGCAATTGCGTTTTTTGCCCTTATTGGATTGTTTCCGACCTAAGAAGTTGCCCGATAGCAAGCATGAAAGTTGTGGGTCGATAATAAGGAAGATATCGTCCGTTGAAAATTGCGACCGCTCAAAATAGACAGAAAATGTTGATTATTTGGGAACTGGAAAGGCCCCGGTGTCTTTTAATTAGCTCGTTACATCCCTTCGATCGTCGAGGTATTTTGAGAAACTTAATTTTTTGGAAAATTGACCTCTTACCCTTATTAAATTTTCGACCAAAAATCAAAATTTCGCAATCGTGTTTTTTGCCCTTATTGGATTGTTTCCGACCTAAGAAGCTGCCCAATGGCGAATATGAAAGTTGTTTGTCGAAAATAAGGAAGATATCGTTCGTTGAAGATTGCGACCGCTCAAAAACCGTTCAAAATCGACAGAAAATGTTGATTATTTGGGGACTGGAAAGGCCCCGGTGTATTTTAATTAGCTCGTGGCATTCCTTGTCTCTTTCCGATGAAAATGATGTATCACTCGAGGTATTTTGAGGAACTTGAATTTTTTGGAAAAATCCATCTCTTACTCCCCCATATGAAATTTTCGACCAAAAATCAAAATTTTACTATAGCGTTTTTCGCCCTTATTGGATTGTTTCCGACCTAAGAAGTTGCCCAATGGCGAACATGAAAGTTGTGGGTCGAAAATAAGGAAGATTCAATTGCAATTCAAACATAAAAGTATAATTTTTACACGATTCAAATACTGTTTGAATTGAAAATATTGTTCGTGATGTTCGTTTTTGTCATGGATGAGGTTTAGGAAATGCTATCTGCCTAGAGTTGGTATGCTAGAGCTTTGGGCTGTATAAGCCTCCAGCCTGGCTGATTACTTAGTAAATCCCTTTCGCTCATCGCTGACGTACTCCTTCGCTTGCCCTGTATATTTAATGAATAAGGATATGTAATGGCGTACGCAGGACTTCATCGTCTCCTTGTTTCAGTAACTTTCCAATAGGAAAACTAATAAAAACGTATATACCTTCCATAAACAAAACAAACTTAAAATTTTTAGGTTAGTGACGTTGAATCCAAATGATGGATCCATGACAGGCGTCACTGCGATGAGCCACTCGCCGATGAATGGCTCGTGTATTTGACAAAGTTGGGCCGCTGTGTTTACGGGATGCCTGCGCCGCGACGTCGACCGTCATGCGCTGGCCGTCCAGCGACGGCGCAAGCGTCCCACCCACAACGTCGTCATCGAGCGAGCGACAGCCGAACCGTCTCCTGCACCGTCAGATTTCCGTTCTTCACAAAAAGCGTCGATCTTGGTTGCACGGCCGATGTGTTGGTGAATGTGCGTCGCGTCCGACCAGACGGTGCTTTAACTGGTCCGGGGGTTCCGTTCGCAGCCGGGGTGGACTCCGGGACAAGGCGCCACCATTGATCTGTAAGTACCCACCATCGGGTCGTCCTTGCCAAACAAGGGCGGGTTGTGTCCGATCGGGAATTGGCGCTCCCCATTCCCCGACTTCCCTTAGCTCGCATACGGTTCATAATGCCGTTTGGTGGCTTCCAAGCGAACGATTGCCGCGGCTCGAGCCGCTTTTGCTGTTGTAAACACGGCTTTAAGGGCTCGGGGAACGGCAACGGAGAGCGACGGGCACACCTAATCGATGGCTTTGCACTGAGCAAACAGATCAGAGCCAAGCCATTGGTGCAAAACCAACTATTTGACGACCGTAATCGCTTCATGCTAACAGTGTGAGGAGTTTTTCGCTTTTGATGCCTATGACGTCATCCGCCTACCAATAAAATCGCGGTTTTTTGCAGGTGTTGCAAAAAAATGGGGTGCACTTCGTCGGCAGAAGAGCGGGCCGCGCTGGCGAGGAGCAAAGCCATCGAGAAGAACCTGAAGGAGGACGGCGCTCAAGCGGCCAAAGACATCAAGCTCCTGCTGCTCGGTATGTTCCGTCTAACAATTATGACGTTTCCTACACACAACCACCTGTCTAGTTTGTCATTTATGATGTATGGAAACGTCAAGTTAACTAAGACCGCCACCTTTATACCTATTAGAGAGTTATTGGACATGCTAAATACTGTCATGCAGTACTAATGTTATTCCTTATTTTAATACTGCATTTGCGCTATTTCTGTAACGAAATGATAGTTATTGGATTGGATTCACTGCTTTCACTATTAAACATGTGTTATTGTGTAACCTAACCTTACACAATTTATTATTAATCATTTTACGTTGGCGTATTCGTATTTTTTACTTTTTAATTGGATTTTGGTTGCTGCTGACCATTTACGCTTAATTGTTATAATGAAGAAAATTCGAGAAGCCACAGTCATAGGCGGAGCAAGAGAAAATGAACTTGAATATTGCATTTTTCATAATACTTATATTCATAAACAGGGGTGGTTATCAGGCTGAGGAAAGAGAATATTTTTATTTAGAACAAATGTCCGATGAGTATAACTATGTCTTGAAGTGCATACTATTCAAGGCTTAGTGGAGATACGAGGAACAGATACGATAAACAAACTGAAGTTTTTGACCCTTGTTTGATCCGCCTTGGTCATTACGGCTTGATATTTATAAGTTCTCCAACATCACGACGTATTTGGTGAATTACTTAATTTAAAGCCGTAGTTTTTACATTGGATTACAGCTCAAGGCTTATAAAGATTTGCAAGTTTACAAGTATGCTGAGTCTGGCACCGTTCAAGAGATATCAGCTACACACGTTAGGGATAAAGCATTTATTTTTAACATAATTCTCATTTACATCCATCACTTGAACTTTTGCTTGCAAGGTGTACTTTATTGAATTGCAAAAATCTAGATTCTGAAAAACACGACTTGAATATTCTTCAGTTAGGTACATCAGTTTGAACTGACTCACTAACACAGCTTCCATAAATCTGCTTTGCTCAAATTTCTTCAATAAATTGTGAAACACTATCAAATCTTGTGCACCATGCAGAAACCACTTCAGCTCGAACCTAAAAACAGCAGCTTAAACACATTATGCCTTTTAATGTTCTAACAACCAACCTCTGGCTTCATTCCAGCTCTTTTTAAAAACCTTTTAAATAGGGAGTAGGCAGGCAGATTGACCTGGTTAGAGACTACAAATGTTTTCTAAATTTTCGTTGGGCAACACATCTGGATTAGTTTTGTCTTCCAAGGCAGCTGGTTTTCCTTCAATCAAACATAGACAGTAGCAAAAATCACTTTTTTGTACAAATACTTACCAGTTATGAAATGTCCTAAGCAAATACGACCATTTCTCATAAAGATTTTACGTAGAGGCACCCGTTTTAAAGCCTTAACACAACATTTCGACGTTCACTAGAGAAAGCATTCAAATCATATCTCTCTTCTATGTCTCGCCAAAATCGGAAAAAAGAAACCGTATCTCGTTCAGCACGCATTGAGCATTAAAGAACACTGCAAAAATGTGGCATTTTGAATCAATTGTATAAGTAATACAAGATTTAATACGTAGTTAAACGTAATGTTTACATATATAAACAAGTAGTCAATTGGAAATGGGTAAAACTGGGTTATGTTTATAATGAAATAATCTGCAACCGGACGTCAGAAATGTCAACTGCCAGTTTAACGTAGAAAATAAAACGTGCAGTATCGGCACACAAATACTACAAAACAGTACTTTAATTTTGCAGTTCTTATTTTTTAGACTGATTTGCGCAGGCGTTTGTGTCAAAATAGCGCAAACTAATACTGCATGAACGTATTGGCCGAACAATAACTCTCTATTGGCTGCGAATTCGCGACCAGTGTTTGAAACTGTTGAGTATTTCGGGTGTATTCGCTTCGACTGCGAACATACTCTGAAGATGCAAACCATTCGTGCTTGCGAAACGTCAGGAAGAAATTGTTGTCCACAACGTCCTAAACTCGTCCGAACCGGTCTGGTTCAACTGCATTCCGCAATAGTCAAATGTCAAATAACTGAAAATAGCAACAAACTAAGACCGAAACTGACAAATGGTATGTGGAAAATCGAGTCAATAATACAGCATAAAAACCTGCCGTGTGGGGCATACGGCCGCCGTTTATTTGCATTAATTGGGCCTAATAAAGCGCACTGGGAAACGAAAAGTCGGCCACGATTTATTCGGGTCAGTATCGGCAAGTTCCGTTAAGCGCCCGAGCGTGCATTACGAATCAAGGCAGGTGTACGTCGTTTGCATGTCAAAAATATCTGTCAGTTTTAAGGCAGCCAGTAACAATTGTTTTCGCACCAGTATAACGATTGTTGACACCCGATAGCACTTATTGATAAATAGGCTTTCCAGCAATTCGATAAATAACAGCTCATTTTACCCTAATCGCACCGTTCGTCATCTGGGCGCCACACAATGACTCATCCAGATTGACTGTATTTTTTTGAATTTGATAATCAACCATTGGCTTGTACAGCACTCAATTACAGGGCTTTAAATCTTCAGCAAATCCAACAAATGGCCCAAATGTTCCCGACTGATTAAACAATTTCCCGGATCGTAATCGTCGATTTCGGCTTATCAATTATTGATGTAGAATTGGCATGTCACATTTCGGACAATAATAGCTGGTTTTGCGTAGGTTTTCCCATTCAGCTCGGCGACAATAATGACACACATTCATCGACGAAAATTGCCATTGTTTTTTTTTGGACTTGTACAGCGACGATTAGAAGGCCTTGAAAGTTTCCCAACTTGGGGAAAAATGCACAAAATTAACCTTTTCCTGATAGATAAGCGAGTTTGGACCAGTTGAAGGTCAGCAGCCGATTCTGATCGTCCAAAAAACATGGACAAACAATGACAAACTGCAAAATCATACATTGGAATTGGGCGCCCAGCAATTAGCGCAAACGACCGTGTTAACGCGGTAACTACTAATGCATATTCCGTGTTTTCCGCGGCGTTGTCAAGCGTCGCCTGAAGACAATTTTCCATGCAAAAAGCCGGGATAATTTCTACTGTCTTAATCACATTTTTGAATGGCCCCCGTAACAGCGCTGGTACAGCTGCTGCATCCAGTCGCCATGACAACCAGCTGTTCTTGTCCTGCGCATTCGGCCTACAAGGGCCAAGTGCAAAGTTAACCCCCGATTGCACCGTTTTCGCTTTAAACACTGATTATATCTTAACCGGTGTTTAAAAAAAATGTGTTGCGCCGTCGCAAACTAATCGTCTGTTAGTTAATCAGAGAATTTAATTAGGTTGCTATCTTCATGATTATCGAATTTTATTTCACATGATCTTTCGCAGCAACGCGGCCAGTAATATATTGGTTTTGTTATATTTTATTGTGTACTCCTTGTCTTCATATTTGTGTACTACTGACCTATAATATATAATATATATAAGCCTTGTTCTATGCTACTGACTACTGTACTAGCATGTACCAGACGTCGACTAACAATGCAACTCAAAGCACCTAACAAGGTCTGAAATAGCTGAAAAATACGACCAACTGCTTGATAAACGGCTAGAACTAGCAGATTTGCAGAAAAAGAAATTGGGAGAGGAATTGTTAATGATTGGATGTGAAAGAAAGCGAAAGCTTCTATTATTAGATTTACAAATTGAAATGGAACAGAAAAAACTTAATCTCCTTTGACATTAAACTGGGTGTTTATATTAATTTTTATTGAAAAAACTTAAAAATTAAAACTCCGTACAAGGTCAAAGGCAACGTAAGAAACTTCTT